TTAGTTCCCTTTCTTTCAACATATGTTCAGTTTTAGACCGACTGGAGTGACAGTGTGTAATCGATTTATATTTTTTCGTCGGATTAGGTCATTTGCAGTGGTGCGCAGTAATATGAATCTATTTTCGAGGTGTATGACGAAATTTCTTTGGCCTTGCGTCATCCGTGATTGTATCAGATTTGTATCACGCCCAGATTATTGTCTCGACTGTCGATTAGTTGTCCTATGGCTATTGCCTGAGATGGATGTTACTCCAAGGAAGCGTACGAAAATTGTAACGCTGTGCGAACACATTGACATGCCTTACCAGTGAGCAAATCAATGTACTATCGACTGGCTCGAAAACTCTCATGATTTAAATCCAATCAAGAATCTGTGGTCAATCTGCAAGGAATGACTTCGTGGAATGGATATATGAAGTGCTAAACTGTGCAATGGGTCATGTTTTATTGGAAAAATACGAAAGAAAAGTAAATAATAACGGAATTATTCGTTTTTGTTTCAATTAATTTGCACAAGGATGTAGAATAGAAAATAAAGACACAATCAAGTTAATATTCCACACTGCAAAAAAAACAAAAGGCTAGGAAGGAAACTCCCACAGAAAGAGATATAACAGTTAGTGGTCTTCAGAAATCAAACTTTTCTGTTCATGCATTAGTATGTTGGCTTGAGAAGGTAGCATTTCTTTTAAGATTTAGGCCAGAACAGATAATTACACTTTCATGAAATTTTCGTTTAAGCAAGCTATTTTCTTTTTTAATATGTATAGCAGTCTTATAAATAAATACTGTTTAAAATAAATGAGGCGTCTACTCAAATACTGATATACCCCCAAAAATAATTTTTGAAGTAATAAAAATATGTTGAATTAAAAAATAAAAATCTATTCACTCTTCGGAAATTGCAATGGGTACGGAACTCAGCGGGTATTTGGCTCAAAGAAATTTGAACGAGTCCTTTATAAAATCCAAAGACGAATCTGCAATGTCATTGGTCCTGACCTGACATCCCGGCTTCAATCACTTTCCCACCGCCGTAATGTGGCTTCCTTGTGCCTTTTCTGTAAATATTTTCACGGTAAATGTTCTGATGAACTTTCCTCTATGGTACCTAGACTTTATGAATTTAAGCGCAGTACTAGATTGGCAGTAGGGTCTCATCATTTTACAGTTGAAATGGCTAGATGTAACCGTAAGTTCTATGCTAACAGTTTCTTCTATTGCACTTCTCGCTTATGGAACTCGCTTCCGTCTTCTTGCCTTCCAGTCAACTTTGATCTACAAAGATTTAAATGTAATATTGTTATAGTGGAACACACCTATTCTATAGTTAATAGACTCTCCCACCTATAATAAGTAGGAGTAGTAAGAGTAACAAGTCAGTCGGCAGTGAGTTGGTCAGTCAGTCGATGTCGGACGACCGTTAGTCGGATATTAAAGTATCAGCTACCACAACTAGATTACTGCGTCATTACCTATTATATCAAGTTTCAAATGTTTTGTACGTCGAACCTATTTTAGGACCGACTTAATACAAATACAAGCCTCCACTGTGAAACCACTACATAATATATATCAATCGTCATATTCTGTCACCTAAATTCATGTTCTTATATTGTCCTCTCTCCTTAATAATGTTTTTATTTTAATATCAGATTCTTTCACGCTCAGTAATTGCTTACATCATAATGGCTTTATCGCTTAGCGTGGAGTGAAATGATTTAAAAAAAATAAGCAAAAAATGTTCTTATTGTTTGCTGTTGTTTAATTGTAGTAACACAGAATATTACATGAAGAGGAAAGAGGTGAAAAATAGTAATAATATAGTGAGAAGAATGCACAACTACAATGTTCAGGGAATTATTCATTAAGTCTGTTAGGAAAACTAGATCTACTTGGAAAGGATGTTTAAATGATACACAACTGGGAGCCAACCGCCTGCCTACGGATAGAAAATGAATTAAGTTTCATCTTCAAAAATTTAAATGCAATGTCAATCGTTATTTACTGTTTTTACAATGCCGGTTCTTTTATTGTTCTGCTATTTAATAACGCTTTTTTTCTCCTATTCTTTCACATTCAGTTACCTCCCCCCATGCGTCTTAGTCGCTTTGTTGCCTTATATTGGGTGAAATGAGTAAAGAAATTATTAATTGGTATTGTAGCTTATTAATATTCTATCATCATGCTCCATACTTTGGTTTTGGGGCCAAAGTTAAACAACTATTTTTATTAATGTCGTCATCTTAGATTATAATAGGGATTTTTGATTAACATTTGAATTCTAATTACTGTTGTCTTCACGCTCTCATCGAAATTATCATTGCTGTTGCTACCAGGA